GAATGTGTGTGTTGCATTATGAATTTGTCCACTTTCAAAGACTCTTGGGTCTATTTGAGCACTGATCAGGTAAACTGAAGAGCCTAAATCAGAGCACTGCAGCATTGAGATCACAATTGTGGCTTTGGTAGATTACAAACAAGAGTAAAGCAAGAAAAGATGAAGTCAAGAGTGATTTGGTCTTTCATCAATGTTCTCTTCACTTTAAGAGAATATCATGGTTGAGTGAAACCACCACACAAAGACTTGGAAACTGTGGTTTGAGAGAAATCTTCAAGTGGTGCCTTCTGGCAGGTAACAGTTGAAATGTGGCATCAAGAAACACCTTCTACAATCACAGCAGACTGCCCTGGCTTGTTTCTCCTGCACAGAACAGCATGAGAGGTGCAGGGATGGGTCAGGCAATTCATGAGCTCCAGGATCTGTCAGAGGATCTGAAGGCAAATGTGCAGCACAAGGTCAATGCCAAACTGTGAATCAGCAGATGCTTCTCCACCTGAGACTCCAAAAGCTTTTTAACACGTTCCATCTGCACTGCAAACACTGCATTTATTTCAATCCCATACCAGGAAAAAATGCAGGTAGGTAGCAAGGAGACATCCAAGGCTCTGTGTGTCTGTCAATAACCACATTTCCCTCTGAATCAAAGAGAACCATTAAAAGGAAGCAGCACATTCTTACAAGTTCTGCTTTGAGAGATGGAACAATTTCTAAAGAACCTAGAAATGTCATGTGGAGGTTACATCAGAGCTCCAGTATGGCCCCATATCTGACAGTTGGAAGATCCCAGGACAGCACAGAAAGGTTTTAGCAAAAATCTGGGGTGAAACAGCACTAGAACCAGGGCAGAGAGAAGAGAGAACTTCACTCCCCTCCTGCTAACAGTCTTAATTTCTTCTTCATAGTGGCACCACTACTTAATATACAGAAGAGCTGCTAGTTCAAGAGCCACTGGCCAGGCAAGCAAAGGTTTCATTTTAACTGCAGGGAGCAGAGTGCACAGAGCTGAGTTCATCTGTGTGTGCAAAGCAAAGACACCTTGAATTCTGCCCTGAGCTCAGAAGGCAAAGACCTGTTTACTTCTGTAAAAGACATGGACGTCTAAGTGCACTAATGCAGCCACGAGGAGGAAAGACCCTGCCCAACCAGAGGGATTTATTGTGTTTACTGTGCAGAAAACTGCCTAGAAAATGGAATTGAACTAAGATTTTGAACAGCTCACCAGGTTAGGGCAGTGGGGTCTCAGTGCAGACCAGACAGAACTATCACAGGAGTGTGAACCCCTAACTCTGCCCCAGTGGGCACCAAACTAAGCCACCACTGGATGCTTTGGGAAAATCCCATCCTGAAGTTTCCCCCTGAGTCTAAACTGAGCAGAGCCATGAGAAGCTTTCCAGGTAGATAAGAGGTCCCTGGGTAGTTTTTGGCTCATCTAAACAGGCACACAATTAATGCTCTGAAAAGGCTCAGTGCCCACCATGCCTGGCTTGGTCACTCACATTCCCTAAGAACAGGATGAGGAAAGAATTCCTTCATGTTCAAGTCAGGGCATCAGTGAGTAGGTTTGAGCCATGTTTTCCCCTAGAAAGACACAGTAATTCCACAATTCCCTTGTTTCATGGGTGACATGCAGGGCCCACACTCCTCTGTGAGCAGCTCCTCCTCCTCACTGCACGTCCTGGCTCTGCCCATTAGCTTTTCCTGCCTGGAGAATGCCCTAATTTTGCAATTGAACAAACAAAGCACCATGGCTTTGACCATCTGAGAGAGAAATCTGGTGCATGAAAAGCTGAAATGAGTATGTTGGAACATTCCAAGCATGGATGATCCTTCCCTGCCAGGAACAGGGAGAACTGCACAATTCCTTGTGCAGTGCAGAGCATTTCACTACAGAACAAAACTCCCAAACCACCAGCAACCAGTTGCACATGTAAACAGCAACAACTGGAGCCCAGAGACAGATAATTCACCCACCTTGAGTGGCATCTCCTGCAGCATGGTCCTCCAGGTTGGGGGTGGCTCCTACGCCTGCCTCTTCAGCTGCTCCCAGCCCAGGGGAAGAAGGGGAAAAACAGGATCAAAACAAGAGTTAAGTTTAACTGTGTTCCTGGAGAATGTATTTACCTCCCTGCTGAGGCTGCCCATCAGAATGGGCATGATCTCTGCTGTATCATGAGCAGGGCAGGATCAGACAAGAAATCAACCCACACCGACAATGGATCTGGGTAGGTCTATTCAGCCAGTGCTGTACCAGACCAGAGAAGTGTTTCATCCCAAATGGCAGGTTAGTACAAGCTCTTTCAGGCAGAAAACAGGCTGTTAAGGAGCAAGGAAAACTCGTGGATTTATATCCCTTTCTTCTATACCCACCTAGTCTTTCCGTAGCCATCAGCAGTGCCAGGAATCTCTCTTACCTGAGCTCACCTTCTTGGTGTCTCCTACCTACCTCACTGTAATGAGCCCTGCCAGGGCTGACCAGTAATTCCAGCCAATAAATCCTGAACTTCAGGAATACTGGCACATTACAGAAGCACAGTTTTCTTCCCAGTGATGATGCTTCGTCTCTCTCGGAATGTTTTCCATTTATTCTATGACTACTTTCAAACCAGCTTAAACCATTATATGTCACAGTTCTCCAGTCAAACTAGGACTTTTCCTGTTTTCTTCATATTTTTCCAAAGAGTTCAGGACACATTGCTTCTTCCTGGCTGCCTGGGATTGTCAGCTCTTGCACACCAGAGCCTGCACATCCTTCTAGCAGATAAGCCACTCCATGTCCCAGCCCAGGCCTCCACCAGCAGCCCAGGGACAGACAATTTGGCTGCCCAAGGGAGTTTGCTGTGGGTTTGTTCCAGTGTTTGGCATTGGCACAAGTTCTTTTCCACCCACTACCCTTGTCAGGTCCTGCCTGATGCTTCCAGAAAAAGCCACTGGCTACGGCACAGGGGACACGTACTCATGTTCCGCATACAGACCTGACCCTCCCAGCACCTCCTGCCCTCTCATCCACACACAGCACTGCTGCAGTCCCTGCTCTGCCTCTCAGAGGCTCCATCCTGCCCTGGAAAACCAGGCCCAGGTGCAGTGATTCCCCACAGGGCATTCAGGCTGAATTAGCCACTTCACTTGCTCTGCATTCTCCTTAGACGCACTGCTGCAGTGCCCTGGTTTTCACCTGCCACTCCAAAGACAACCCAGGGAGCTGCAGGACACACAGCAAGGTCCTGAGGTGCTCAGCAACAAGGGGCTGCTGGCAGAGGGGCTCCTGGCAGAGGAGCTCCTGGCACAGGGGCAGCGATGACCTGGATCCGTAGGTACACACTTAGCCTGGAGGTGGAAAGCAAAGCCACCACAGAGACACCAGACACAAAGATTCTCAGATGTGGAGCTGAGAAAGAGAAGAGAAGGCTGCAGGTTTCCCCCAGGATGGGGAAGGCAAGAGGATAACTAAGTGAGGAATTATTTCTGCAGGCAGTGAGAAGCAAGAAGGCGTCGTCAGGAGCAAAATGTGCCTGCAGAGGGTTCGTGGTGGTATCTTTAAGCACTAACCAGTCCAGCTCTCTGCTTAACCAGTCCAGCTCTCTGCTCTGTCTGCATCAAGAGATGGAACTGCACCTTGGTCTCCCTCACCTGTGGTTCCTTCTGGGATCTCCCCGTGCTGATCCACACCACCCTGATCCTCGTGGTCTCCTTCCTCCACTAAAGGTGCTGTGGCATCTGAAAAACAACGTACCTTTCACACAGCTGTTGAGTGGCAAAGCCCTGTGGAGGCCAGGACGTGCCTGAACAACTTTTAGCTCAGAAAAGCACTCAACACCCTCCCTTGAGCCAGTGGAGGGGACAACCAAGCACAA